CCCCATCATCAGCAATTGACCCATCATCATTTTCCATCGATCCAATATTCTCAGACAATTTACATGACAATAAATTATTCGAGGTATAACTGTTAAGCTTTCGAGATGAATGGGATGTGAATGATGATTTTTTTAAAACATGGACAAGCAGTTCAAATACGGGATCAAAAATAGCTATGTGTTGTTGCAGGTGAGAAAGAAGTTCTCTCAATTAAGTAAACTGCAAAGAACAACATTCTGGCTTATTGCATTTAAAGTGTTGAGTGTTCTACACTATGTATATGTATATGAACCTCTACCAGTGTGTTCATTATTTCGATGATCTCTAGCCACATGTGACTTGAAATTAGCATATGTTTTAAACTGTCTCTAACAATCTTCTTGATAACATGAATATTCTATATATGTTATATTCATATGAAAACTTTCTGACTGACAGAAGTAGGACTAATATTGCAATTGTAATGATACATTTTCAGTGTTTCAGTGAACTTATTCGGTTGAACTTAATGCCGGGGTTCCCTTATATTCATTTACTTATAAAAAATCGAAAGCAGATGTGTTCTAATGATTGGGGAAAATACCAGTTTGTCAGAAGTCAATAATTAACTCGTTTTTAGCTAATTGCGAAGGTATTCCAATGATCGAGCGGTCACTTAATAGAAATTATCCATTTTCCAGAAGGGAGTAACTTGTTGTGTGCCTTTTCACAGCCAAACATTACCAAAACAGCCTAATACCAACCGAAAAATTAAGAATTTTAATGGTTATGTTTCCAAAAAAAGGAAAATGACGATGTTTGTTTTATTTTCTAAATACACAGTGTATGTAATTACACAATTTCTAACTTACAAATATGTCTTTTAAACATGGTTTGGCTAATAGTTTTTTATACGAAAATTTTGCCAGATTATCATGGTCGTCAGGCGGTAAATAAGCTTTTTCAATCGGATTTCAGTAAATCTGATCCCGAAGCTTTTCTACATCCTCACACGATCTTAGTGCTTAACATTAATCAAACAAAA